GCTGTCCTCTCACTCACCTGAGCTGCTGCTCTGGTGATGCTTGGAGCCCCTCCCCATTTTTCTAGGGTTGTGTAAACCCTAGAAACATTGGCCACAGCCCCTCGAGCCTGAGGCTACTTGAATGTGCTGCATGGACCTGAGACACCGAGACACCGGTCTTCGGTCCCTGGCTGGAAGTAAAGCTCCATCCGTTGGAGTGATCGTACGAAAGCTCGTCTTTGCATCAGACACTCAGTGGCAGGCGGTTCATCAGCGGTCAGAATGCACATGCTGAATATCGGCTTCAGCGCTTAGCTCCCGGCCAGGCTACAAGCGAGCTCCTGTGTGTTCTGTGCCGTTTAACCTCAATGCAAGGCAGGTGCAATTAGCCCCGTTTCTGAGGCTTATGTCCAAGGTCGTGCCTATGTAAGCTTACATTTCACCAAACAGGTTTCTCTTCATGCATTTAAAAGAAGGTATTTTGTTTAACTGAACACCAAAGCTTGTGAGAGTTTGTGGTACCAGAGGCGTGAACTGGCTTGAATTCATCACGCAGCCCACTGTGCTGGGTGCATAACCCCCACGGAGGGGGCTGGCCCCAGGCTGTTCGGGGAGGAAACCTCGGAGATTCTCGTCACGTTTGTATTAACTGGCCACGCAGAGAACCTGGGAGCAGGTGGGAGGAAGAGATTCGGGACGTAACCAGAGCAGCCTGAGGTCAGGGGAGGAGCGGACACTGAGCATGCAGTGCTGGCCTCGCCCCGGCCGTGTGCCCCGTGTGCACCACCACCTGTTCCGCACGTTCCTCGTTTTGCCTGGAACGCTGTCTGTTAGGGGGACCCCCGGGGGGCATGGCCTTTGCCTTGTGATGCCCACAATTGCAGAAAAATAAATGGAGAGGTGACAGTGCCTTTCGTCACTGAAGTGGTGGGCAAATCAAACGCTGGCTTGGTGACTGGTGTGCGTACGTCTCAACTGAAGCACGGCCCGTCCTCACATGGGGGAACAGGACCCAGCGAGGCTCTGTCACTTCAGCAGCACACACTTGGTCGTGTCGCCCGCGGCCCCCTCTGCCTAGCCAGAGATGCGGTGTCTGTTCTTTCACGGGGCTTTGGGGGCGCCTGCAGAGTGCACTCTGCGCCTGGGCTGGGCCTTTCTTTCGTGAGCCTGAGCGCGGGGGGGGTTTAGTGACATGGAACTGGGGAGACCTGTCACTGGCTTTTCTGGTTGGTGGCGCTTTTTCCAATAATGAGCAGGATTAAGACCGAGAGTGCAGGCTTTTCTAGGAGGACACGGGAAATAATGCAATGCACTGTCTCTCGGGCGCTCCCGGTGCCCGGGGAGGGGGGGCGGGGCAAAGCCAACCTCCTCCCGGAGCCCGCCGGCACCGTGTCCTGGTCCCACTTGCCCGGACCTCTGCGTGGAGGCTGATGTGCCGCGGACTTACCTTGAACGTGGTCCACAGGCAGCGTGTCGCGGTGCCGGCCACCGGGCCCTCCCCTTGGGTCTGTGGTGCGGGTGCTGCACACGGCACCCGGTTTGAGGAAGTGCGTTAAATCTGATCTCGTTTCCACCTCCACGGGGGAGTTGAAAACACAACCCCGTCTTCCATTACTGTTCTCACGTCTGGCTTCTCGTTGCCTTTCAGGAACCCAGGGAGTCGCCCCCGGCCCTGTCATCGGCCTGCAGGCGCCGTCCACTGGGCTCCTCGGGGCCCGGCCGGGCATGATCCCGCTGCAGCGCCCCCCGGGCTTGCCCCCGCCGCACCTGCAGCGCTTCCCTCTGATGCCGCCAAGGCCCGTGCCGCCACACATGATGCACCGGGGCCCGCCCCCCGGGCCGGGGGGCTTCGGGGTGCCCCCGCCCCACGGAATGAAAGGCCCCTTCCCGCCGCACGGCCCCTTCGTTAGGCCTGGTGGAATGCCGGGGCTGGGGGGCCCAGGACCTGGCCCAGGACCTGACGACAGAGACGGGAGGCAGCAGCAACCACAGCCACAGCAGCCGCCACCGCAGCAGCAGCCGCAGCAGCCGCCACCAGCGCAGCAGCCGCCGCCGGCACAGCAGCCACAACCGTTTAGAAATGAAAACAGGCAGCAGTTCAATTCAGGTAGAGACCAAGAAAGGTTTGGACGAAGATCTTTCGGAAATAGGGTGGAAAATGACCGGGACCGCTATGGGGACCGGAGTGACGAGAGAGAGAGCAGCGGCCGTGAGAGGCGAGAGTGGGGACGGAGGAGCCCCGACCGGGACAGGCACAGAGACTTGGAAGACAGAAGCAGACGGTCTGGTGGGCACCGAGACAGGGAGAGGGATTCCAGGGATAGAGAGTCTCGCAGGGAGAAGGAGGACAGCCGGGGCAAGGAGAAGCCGGAGGGGGTGGGCCGGGCCGTCGACCCCCCCCTCAGCCAAGCGGGCGCCGCAGAGCCGGTCTCAGAACTCGCCACGGGGGAGTCTGCGGCCACAGCGGTGGCCGCGAAACCTGCTGCGGAGCTGCCCGCCGAGGCTACCTCGTCCGCCGGCCCCGAGAAGGAGTCGGGCTCGGCCGCGGAGGCTCGCTAGGGACAGGGACTGGCGGGCAGGGACACCGGCGCGGGAGCGGGAGGTGTACAGATGCTGTATTATATTTGCCCTGCTCTTCCCGCCCCACGGTAGTTGTGGGGCCTCATAAGCAATTTGATTGCTTCCCTTCTATTTAAAAATAGCCACAAAATAACAAAAAATACTGAAAATATGAATAAATATTACCCTTTTTGCTGTAACTTTTTAAAAGTTTTGACTTTAAAAAGTTTACAAATCGTAATTAGAAGTGCTCTCTATTTTTTTTTTTTTTAATTTAAGACATGGTAACAGTGAAAGCTCCTCAAACAATAGGGATGTTTTTAATAAACTCTATTTTCGTAACAAACTTCGGTGTGTGCCCTCCTTCACGCGCTGCCCCCGGTGGGCGAGGCCCGTCTGCCCCGTGCGGCCGTCTGCGCCGCGTCTCCGGGAGGGCCGCCGCCGCCGCCGGAGGGGACGGACGCACTCAGTGGCCTGCAGACACCTCGACTTGCAGTGCTTTCGATTTTTGGCGTTTTACTCATAAGGTAAAAGTTAGTGGTTTTAATAGTTTGCAGCTTAATCAAGGTTTTTTGTTTTGTTTTTTGCTGTTGGCTTTGTGGTAAATACCGCCCTCACTGATTTGTAAAGAGAAATCTGCTGGGGAAACATGGATCTGACGCTGCCCGTCGTACTGTGAACTACTCAGTCGCCTGGGTGTTACTGATTTAGAAGGCCAGGTGTTTTTCTTACCGTCCCATTACATTTTTCAGAAGGGTGGGAGATGCCAAGGGTCAGTTTTGCACCCTGAAAGCGTTTTGTCTTACTCTCCGTGTTCAAGGGCGTCTGTGGAGACTTGCTTCCCGTGAGCCTTGCCTGTTGCCCTTCTGGACTGGTTTTTTGAACCCCCCTGCCAGGCGGAGGGAGTGGGAACTCGGGGCCACCTGTGAAGTGCTTCCTGTCTCTGCTTCAGACTGTGGGGTTGGGTGGGGACAGCAGTTGTAGGTCACCCAGGAGGTGTGACATGAAGACGTCCAGAGCCGGGTCAGCCCCACCCGAGGCTCCGCACCGCCACCACACACAGCGCTCACCGCGGCCACAGCGCCCGGTGGCCCCGCAGAGGCCTCGTCAGTCTGCGGTGGCCCAGAGTCAGCGTGCCTCGTCGTCCCTGTCCTTGTCCGCACTGCCTGCTGGTCCAGCTCTGAGTGCTCTGTGGGCAGCGGGCAGCTGGGGCAGTGACCTCGTTCTCGCCTTTAGGGAGCTCGAGACCCCGTGTCCTGTGCCAACCCATGAGGTCTGACAGCCCAAACAAGCTCTTCTGAAGTGTCTGGTTTCACGTTCAGGTCCCAGGGCCTTGCTGCCCGCATCTCCGGTTGCAAGTATCGAGGACACCCTGTTCACTTGCACGTGACAGCCCCCCAAAGTACTGGAAGTACTTCCACAAGGGGAGGCGTGCCCTGGGCCCTGGAGGTCACGAGGGAGCCGGAGTGAGTCTTCCCCGACACCTGTGGCCTTGTTCGAATTCTCTACCTAACCAGTTTCCACCACTTCCGTGAGCCTCCCCCTTCACTGTGAAAACACTGCAAACTGTCTTTTTCTAAACTAGCTTTTCCTCTGAAATGATGTGCATTTGATCAAGTACATCCTATAGTTATGACCCATCCGAATTACACTTATTTCTGGTTTTGCTACCAGAAACATTTTACAATGTTCTATTAAGAGACAACCAACCCCCATGGTGGAACCTGCGTGAAATTCAGGTTTTGTTCACATCTGCACAGGTGCTTCCAGGACCAGCCAGCTCCTCCGTCCAGAGCCCCACCCCTCCCTCTAAAGGGCGTGTCCGCAAGCAGATGAGGCCACCCGCTCCTTTCACAGCAACAGGGCGAGTGGGCCGTTTTGGCCAGTCGGTGAGCTCACCCTATCAGCTCTCCGAAGCCATCGCTGGGCCAGTGTCACTTACCAAAGGGCTCTCAAACCGTTAACATCCAGTTTTGAAATGAGCATACTTTTATTGTCAGAGGTTAAGTGGTAAGTGGGGTAGCCCCTTAGCTCACCCAAAGCTGACACAGGACAGCCTCCCCTCCAAGATCGAAGTTCAAGTCCCTCAAAGACCAGTGTCGAAAAATGTAAACAGTGCAATTATCTATTTCAAATACTTTCGACAGAGCAGTCTCTGAAATAACCCGTCAGCACGGTGCTTGACCTGTTCCACGAGAGGTCCCCGTGTGAGTGACAGCTGGTTTAGGAGCCGGTTCGGATGCTTCAACAGGCTTGAGCTTCGGCGCCACGTTGGGTCCTCATTTACTGCTCGAACGAGAGCTGAAGATTAAACAGACAACTCCACGCCCACGTGTGCGCGACCGTCAACGGACGTTTCAATTGAACGAGATGTACGCAGTTGCCCAAGTCCTCCGAGCAATCATGACGCAGCTCTGGTCACGGGTAAAGTCACTTTTAAAAAAAGACACACACACACACTCTGAGGGCTACAGAGTTTAATGGTTATCAAGTGCCTACAGCTGGTGAGACGGCAGGGCCGCCGGGACTCGGCCTGGGGGGGGACGGTCACTGCGCGATCCCGATCACCCCGCAGGCCAGGCGGCTGCCGGCGTTGCCCGTCTTCTTGCTCTCGTCGTTCCCACCTCTGCCCAGGTCGTCCCGCTTTTCGTGGACCTTGTGGGAACAGGGAGGACACGGGGCTGGGACTGTCCAGTCGCCCGCCTCTGCCCGGCGGCGCCCGCGAGGCGCGCACCGTTAGGAAGCAGCGAGTGCAAAGACGCCTCCTAGAGAAACGGGCCGCTCCTCAGTCTAGCGGCAGGACAGACCACCGCTCAGCTTTTTCTCGGTGAGGCAGAGACACAAACTGCCTTTACACGCTCAGTGGGTGTCCCGGCTCTGAAGGAAGCACTGACACCCAGCGGCTGGCTCAGGCCTCCCGGTGCCGGTCCCGACCCCGAGGAAGCCGAGGGAGCAGCTACAGCCGGCCTTCTCTCAAATGATCTCGAACTACCTAGAAACAGTACTTTAAACTTTCCTCATTAAACATTTACAAACTTTTCTGCTTCTCAACTATGACTGAAGAAAGTTCCCAGGATAAGGGTCGGCCGGAAGACGACAGTGGAAGGCCAGTGGCCCCTCTACCTAGCGTTTGTGTGACCCAGACGAGCCCCCGAGGGTGACTTGGGGCAGCCGCTCCCCGCGGGCTCGGCCGGTGGTGGTGACCAGGCAGGAGCCCACGCTCACACTGGGTCTGTCCAATACCTCGGCGGGACAGGCACTCTGCTGAACTACAGGGGGGACCCCATCTAGGCCAGGAAAGCCGGCGGTCTCGATGCCAGGCAGAGACGACATCCGCTGGGCAGCGCGGGGTGACGTCGCCCAGCGGGACCTGCTGCGTCACTGCACCTCAGCCCAGCGGGGCTCCTCACCGGCCCAGGTCTTCGACGCCTCCCCACTGGGACCACCCAGCACACTCACTGCTTTCTCCGGGTCTGAGCTACGGGCACAGTGTGTGTGGCTCCTCGGAAACCAGGCCCGAGCCCCGTGAACGGGTGTGCGACTGGGGAGGGGCTGTCTGCACACCCTTGGCCCCTGCGAACTCACCACCATCGTGCGGCCGATGATGGAATGGGGCCCTGAGAGGGAGATGAGGGAGTCTTCCAGAGACACCTCGGCCACCCCGTTTTCCTCCGCAGTCACGTTGCCCAGGTCCCCGACGTGCCTGGCGTTGACAAAGCATAGGAACAGCACGTGAGCTCAGTTAAAAACTGGCAGACCTAGCATGGGCAGGGACACGGCAGGGACCGCCCCCCAGACAGACAGGCGGCCAGTGCAGACACAACACTCGAACCGGCTCCCGGGCTGCGGGCAGGGCCGCCTCTGACCGCGTGGGGTGGGGGCTCCGCCAGCCCTGGGGGTGGGGGCGGGCTGAGGAGCGGGGCCCCGGGCCCCTGCGGGGGAAATGGAGGGAACCCCTGTCCTCAGGCCTGCTGTCCCCCCCAGAAGGCTCCCAGAAAACAAGGCCTGCAAACGGAGTCTCATCGCGTGTCCCAGGCGGGTTCATCCGTCCGTGACTGGCAGCGCCGTTACTCATTCCCTGCACCAGTGCCCGTGCACAGAAGAGTCCCGCACTCAGTAAACGCTGTGCAACTGCGCTGCTCCCAGTGTCCCCGTCTGTGCGTCCCTCCACGCAGCAGAGGGTCACGGGGGCGAGGGTGCCGGGTCTAGCGGGCCATCTGCGAATGGCACACCCACGCTGATCCCGAAAAGCCCCTGCCGTGTTTCTGATGCGAGGTCGTGTCCGTCACTCACCTCTCTTCATCCTGGGGTCCGCCGTGGGTTTTGCCTAGAGGGTTAAAGTGAGGACCTGCACTGGTACAGCCTATGGACCAAAAAGAGAAGGAGCTACGTTATGAATCAAAATTCCAAAAGACACCCCATGGAGAAGCTGGCCGTGGCCAGAACCTCCTTCGGAGAAAGTGGGGACCTACGGCACAGAAGGGGCAGGAAGGAGAAACAAGGCCTCAGTGCCCGTGACGCGGTCGAGTCCACACCCTTCTCTGGGCTTGGATTTCTCCGCCACCCTGTGAAGAAGCCCTGGACTTGATCCTCAACAGTTCCCTTCCGCTCCTAAGATCCTGTGGAAATGGTCCTGGCTCGTGCAGAGGTAGAAAAACCCTGAACTACAACAACTTAGCTCCCCAGCCACACGCTCTGGGCGGCTCCCTGTCTGCCGTGTGTGTGCAGCATGGAAAACGGCAGGGCGCCCAGTCGCAGGCCCGGCTGCTGCCCTGCACGGCCCGGCAGCACACAGGCCGCAGTCTGTCGGCAACGGTCCTCGGGCCGCAGGGACTGCCCTCCACACAGACACAGGAACTCCCCTGACCACCAGTCTGCTGCCCGCCTGCCTTCCCCTGCAGACGGACAGTCCCACTGTGTGCCGCTCCCCCCGCACTGCCCACTGGGAGCAGACAGGTTACAGGACGCTGCCCCGTAAACCACAGCCACAGAGCAGTGCCTCTGACAGCAGAGGCAGGAAAAACGAGGAGCAGCTGGAGCAGCCCTGTGGCTGCTGAAATGGGTCAAGTGTGGTCCTGACGTCCTTACAGGGATCAAATTATGGAGCATTAAAAACAACTTCCACCAAATCCAGTCAGTTCTCAATCTGTCTACACACGAGGTCAGATTACTCAAAAATGGCAAAAGGTCACTAAACCCATTTTTCTGCCAGTAAACTCTGTGCACGTGGAACTCCGTGCAGAGCACGGGCAGTTCCCAGGCGGCTCACTTCTGCCTCCCGGGACCTGGTGCTGGAGGCGGGGCCTGCAGCCCCCCTCGGCCCCGCCCATGGAGCCTGGGAGCATGCAGGTGGCAAGAAAGCAGCTGAATTTGTTTGAATGTTTTTATTTATTTATTTTTAGGGGGGGAGGGAAGGAGAAAGGGTAGGAGAGAAACATTAATGTGTGGTTGCCTCTCACACACCCCCTACTGGGGACCTGGTCTGCAAGCCAGGCATGTGCCCTGACTGGGAATCGAACCAGCAAACCCTTCGCTTCACAGGCCCGTGCTCAATCCACTGAGCTACACCAGCCAGGGCTGAATTGTTTTTCCTAAAAAAAATACCTGCAGCCCTGGCTGGTGTAGCTCAGTGGATAGAGCACGAGCCTGCGAATCAAAGGATCACGGTTCGATTCCCAGTCAGGGCACATGCCTGGGTTGCAGACTGCTTCCCTGCAGGCCAGTTTCCAGCAGGGGACGCACGAAAGGCAACCATACACTGATGTTTCTCTCCCTCTCTCCTTCCCCTCTATAAAGAAATAAATAAATAAAATCTTAAAAAAAACATTGGAAAGTGAAAAAAAAAATCCCTGCAACTTACATAATCAAGCCATAATCACAATTTAAAAAAAAATCCTCCTTCCCCTTCCTCTCCACACGCAGCATCAGAAGCCAGTTTTGAGGCTCCGCTGCCTGTTCACTAAGGTGGCTGCTTTCCCTCGTCTCGAGATGAGGAACAGGTCTGGGTCTCAGCCCCGCATGGCACCCACCTAGGGTGTTGTCTCCAAACTCGTGGACGTGGAACCCATGCTCGCCTTTGGTCAGCCCCTTGATGGTCCCAGAGACCTTGACGAGACCAGTGCCCTGTATCAGAGAAGAGCACAGGGGGTGTGAGGAAGCCTCCGAACAAGCTGCCTCTACCACGCACGACGGGACAAGAGCGTGGACTCGGGAGTCAGAAGCCGGCAGTCGCCTCTGGGCAGGACACGCCACCAAGGGAGATGCGGCCCCGACCAGTGTCCAGCTGGCTGGCCTAGGGTCCCTGGCCTTCACTGTCCCCGGGGGGAGGTTGATCAGGTTCCAGCGCTCACTGGGGCCCGTGGCTACACCGGCTCTGCATCCCTCAGGGCCCCCCAGGAGGATGCGGGCGCAGAGCGTTGATTCAGGGCTGGAACACACGCTCTCCCAGGGCCCGGGGCACCGACTCTTGTGTAGCTCGCAGGGCCGCAGAGGGGCTGTTTTCTGACCTGGCAGTCACTGAACCTCAATCACCTTTCTGCCTCAAGTACTGAGACCGAAACACGGAACAGTGAGACCGAAGCAAAGCGGGTGACAATGACCCGGCCGCGCCTGCACATCCAGGACCTCCTTAGGGCAGCGAAGCAGAAGCCCTAACTGCTAAACACACACTCAAGCCCCCGTGCCACACGGCACCTGTCCTCCCACACTTGGGACCTGCCCTACCCCAGGTGTCCCGGGATGACCTCCCACTGGACAAACGCGATGCTCAGACCAAGTGGCAAGGTAACAGCTGCCCTCGGATGTGCTCTTTTGTTGTAAAAATCGAGTACTTCTCCCGGGTCGGCCTTAACTTAGGAAAAATTCAAATGAGTTACCCTATAAAACACATTATCCAAAAGCACAGAAGACAAACGGGGAGTTCTCCCGAGCCCACGTTTCCTGGGTGAGACCACAGGGAGCACCCAGAGGCTGGGGGCGAGCCCCTGTGCACAGCCGGGGTGGGGGGGGCTGTCCCAATAAATGGGCAAACCCCTCAGCACAGCATGGCCCTGGTCTACAGAGGCTCAGTGTAGGCAGATCTCCAAACGCTTCAAGAGCAGCTAAGAATTTGGACTCTAAGATGAAAATTTTCACTTTAAACACCTGGGAAATGATCCAAAATTTCAGGCACACAACAGGTCAATCAAATACTGCTTACTGGTGATTAAACACATGCCTACCTGGAAAGCTGTCCTGCCCAACTGTCCAAAGGTCTTTATCGGGTACAAACAGCACCCCCACTCCCAACCCCCCCCACACACACAGGAAGCTGGGCACTGGAGGGAGGGGCCACGCAGGCTGCTCGGGAAGGGGGGCCCAGCTGCCTCCCAGGGCGAGGAGGAGGGTCGCAGAGAGGTCTGGCCAGTGAAAACAGCAAAATTCAGTCCAATGCCAACGAGCCTTTTCCAGCAGCTCTGGAAACCACTGCAGGGGGGAAAAAACCGCTGCACCCTAAGTGCCCCTGTGCGAACACTTCTCTGTCCCCTCCCACCTCTGGAACCCCCCCCCCAAACACTCGGTCTCGCTCCCTTGTAAGTTATCCGACCGTGAGTGACAAGCCCAGCACAACGTCTGCTTCCACCAGCCAGCAGCCCCACGGAGACCTGGGGACAGTGCTCTGGCCAGGCTGCTGCGCAGTACAACCCGCAGTGAGCGTCCGCACACTTCACGTTACAGGACTGGGCCCGACATCTCCTGCCGTCTCAGTGCCTGTTGGTTGAGCGACTCCACAGCCACTTTACCGAGGACGGGCTGAAACATGCTGCCAAGACCGAGCGCCAGGTCCGCGCGTGGACACCGGGGCTCCCCGCCCCCGTCCCCCACTAGCACGAAGGACCCGTTGCGGCCCTAGGCCGCTCCGACGCGGACACAGACCGGACCCCGCCGGTCTGCATCCAGCCCGCGCATGCCCCCCGGGGGGGGGGGAGCCCGCTGGGGGTGTCGGTCGGAGTGGGGCTTCGGGGAGGAGTTTGTACAGAGCGCCTTGCTGCCCCAGCACCTGGCCGTGACCCGCATGTTCTTATTTTCACGACCCTTCCTTCCACACAAATCCACCAAAGCGCCCTCGGCCGCAGGGCTGTGCCCACAGCGATCCCGGGAGGATGGGGCCGGGGACCACGGTCTGTAGACCCCTAAACTAATGAAACATTTTAGGTCGCGAAGAAGCCCCAGACCGACCAAGGGGGCCACGGCTCCCTGCGTACGGACTTGCTGCGCAATCGCCATGCCAGGCGCACAGGATGCAGAGGCAGCAGGGAGCAAGGGCCGGGTCACCACGCCCCCGCCCCGCCGTGAAGGCCCTGGGAGGCCGCCTCCTCCCTCCGGCCCTGGCTTGTTCTCAGGCCCTTCAGGCCCACGGTTCCGCCCAGGCCCAGCCCGCGCCGCCGGCCACTCTCGCCGGTGACTCAGCACCGCGGCTTCGAGAGTGATCAGTGGCCCCGGGGCCTTGCCTCCTGCTCGAAGCGGATGATGCCCTGCACCGGGCCGTCGCCCTTCAGCACGCACACAGCCCTGGTAGTCATGGCTCACGGAACGCGCGCAGATCTGGATCGGAAGACCGGGCAGACGCCGCAGGACACGCCGACGCAGGGGCGACGGCGCCGCGGGCATCTTATAGGCCGGATCCGGCGCCCCGCCCCACCCTGGCCCAGGACCAAGCGCCCCAGGACCGGGACCAATAGAGCGCTGAGCTGGCCCTCCGCATAGTGGCCTAGGGACGCGATTGGCCGGGAGTGGCGGGGGCGGGGCCTAGGGCACGTGGGAGCCCCGCCTCCCGCGCCAGGGACTTCCCGTGCGGCCCGCAAGAGCTGGATCTCGGGTTGGAGCCGGCTTTCCTCTCGTGGCAGGTGCAGCCGCAGGTTGCATCGCCCAGGCTGGCGCGCTCGCGAGATCGGAAGTCACCTGGGCTGGAGATGGCATCCGTTGTAACTGAGTTGGGTCCTAAACGTGTTTGGTAAAAATGGGGACGCATGCAGCTGGGAGATTTTGTAGTTTCCTTGTTTTCATTGTCTTGTTCGGGGGGTTCTTGTTCGGGAGTGTAGAGGCAACACACCTCTGCCCCTGGCCTCATCCGGCCGGATCTGGTCCTGAGCACGCGCCGCTACCGATTTGGGCGCCAGGACCCTGTCTTTCCACATTTTCCTTCTCACACAAGGAAGGCCACAACCGTGAACCTACCCAACGTCAAGTCACCCAAGTCACCGCACTGACCTCTGCACGTGGCCCTGTTTCCTCCCACTCTACAGCCACGACAGGGCAGGGCTGGATGCCACACGATTTGTGTCGCCCCTGGGAAGAGAAAATGGGGCCACATTAGCCACGCTGCGCACTTGCTCGGGTCCACTAGGGCGAGCCAGGAGGAACAGATTCCCCTGTGCTTCTAGGCAGGCTGGAAACTGGAACTGCGGGCCTTTGCAACCCCGTTCCATGCGGGGTGTGCAGCAGACCCCAGCTAAGCCTCCGGTAGCCCCTGAAGGACAAGGAAAGTTGCTCACGTGTCCAGACCACCTGTCATCTGGAGCAGCGGTTCTCCGCCTTTTTCATCTCATGGCACACACAAACTAGTAAAACTCTGTGGCACACCAGAAAAAAAATTTTTTGCTGGTATGACAAAAAATAGGTATAATTTTTTACATTTGTATTAATTGAGAGAGAGAAACGTTGATTTGTTGTTCCACTTACTGATGCTGGAACAACAAATGGTCGATTCTCACGTGTGCCCCCGACCAGAGGCTGAACCCGCACCCTTGGTGTGTCTGGCCCACGCTCTAACTAACTGAATGAGCTACCTGGGCAGGACAAGAATGGGTGCAATTCTGATTCATTCACAATGGACGGCTCTTGCGTTGGCTGTTGTCATTTCTTTATTTGACAGTCTAAGGGGAAAGAGGCCAGGCCCCCGACAAAGCCGTCCAGTACCGCATGTTACAGGTTCTTGCTGGCGCACCAACTCCGACAAGCCCAGGAGCTAAGGAGGCCAGACAGAATCTTGCAGACATGCTTTTTACTGTGAGAACCGTCTGCTTTCTTCCTTCTTCAGAATGCTCTGGGTATCGCTGGGCTGTGTTTTTCCTTTGCAAATCCTAAGCCCCCAAATAATCTTTATTGTGTGTTTCTTGCCAAAGCTTCCTGATTCCATTTATGCTCAGCTGACACCCCCATATGCCACCAAACGGGGACTGTGCCCACTGCAGTGCAGGCTCTTGACTTCTGAGGGAAGACCTCACAACTTGAGTCCAGGTGGTTGTTAGAGCATGTTTGTGAAAGCTGGGGACAGTGTGGCAAAGGGAGGGCGAAAGGTAGAAGGAGCAACAGGATGAGAAGAATGGGGGCCTGGGAGGCAGGGTCAGGGGTGAGCCTGGGACGAGCCGCTGCCGCCCGCCTCTCCCTGGCTGCAAGTCTCCTGGGGACCCGCCTGGTGTAGGAGGAAGAGATAGCAGACCTGGGCGGTGTCTAGGGAGAGAACGCCCTGGGTCTTGTGTCTTTGGGCTTTTTTTCTTTCTTTGGCCTGGCAGAGTTTGGGGGAGGTCTCAGGAGAGAGTCTCAACAGAATATTCATTAGCTTTTCAGGTGTGCTCTTCAACATCTTGATTCGTCAGAATGTATGTTTAGAAGGATCAGGGTTACTTTTGTGGTTGGTTTTACTTTTACAGAATGTCATTGAAGAGGGATGGATGGAGGCCGGGCTCGAATGTGGGACCCACATGTTCGCAGTGTCCTTGGCAAGGGAACAGAAAACCTTGTGATGGCTTAGCCGGCTGTGACTTGTTCCGATTGTTTGGCCTTCTGTAATTACGTTGTCTTGGAGTCTCTCCTTCCACTCGCCGAGGAATTTCCGTAGCTTCTCACTCCCCCCCCCCTCACATACACCAGAGTCACTTCTCCTTCAAGGAAGATGTTCCAAAACCATATCATGAAATGAGCAAACAGTCCAAACAAGTTTTGTGGGGTTTTGAAATGTATAAACGTACATTGTGTGCTCAGAAATCTCTAGAAAGATGTACAGGGGACCCTGGGCACTTGTGGGGGCAGGAATCAAACTTGAACTAACGTGCTTCCCTTCAAATTTTTTCACAACTATATGCATTTGTCTTTGTAACATGGCTTAGAAAGAGAGCTCTGCCCACACACGCACTTTTGTTGGAAGGACGGTTTGATAAACTGGAGGGGGCGGGCGGGGAGAAGAATCTTCACCTCTGTCCCCACCAGTGGTGCCTGATGACCAGGGTGGCCAACCTGCTTCCGGCAGTGAGGTCACAGTGGCCTGGAAGCTGCGTTGGACTCGCAGGGAGGGCCTGTCGGCAGCAGGTGCGGTGGTCCCGGCTCGGTGGTCCGGGTGGGAGCCCAGAACCTGCATTCCGGGCGCCCTGACGCTGCCGGTCTGGGGCCTCGCGTGGACCCCCTCACTGTCAGGGCTTTCTCCGGCCAGGCCACACGGGCTGGCTTCAAACACCCGTCTCCCGCACACCCTTCAAACACAGCCCGCCTTTCCCTCCGATGTGCTGGGTAGCCGGGCTGACTGGGGAGGCTGGCGAAATACGGAGGCCTGACTCAAGGCCAGCGTGAGGCAAGGCCAGACCTGTGCGTGTTTTTCAGCCACGTCTGGGCTTGTGTGTGTGTGTGTGCGTGTGTGTATTTGGGCCCTTGGACTCCGAGGCCTTCTCTGTCTGACACGCACAGTGCCCGCTCTCTGTCACCCTCCAGAAGAGGCACCTGTGTGGGCCAGGGCCTGCCGCACTCTCTGGCGGTCTCCAGCCCCGCACAGGTGGGGGCTCGCCCGGGGCCTTTGCCCAAGGTCGAAGTCTCTGGGTTTCAGGAAGGCAAAGTCAGATTTCAGTTCCCTGGGTGAACTTGCCAGGCAGCAGCCCACAAACAAAGGGTGGGCCTGAGTCCGGCCGGGCGGTCCAGTGGGTGGCCCTACAGGAAAAGGCTGCGGACTCCATTCCCGGCCAGGGCGCTGATGGGAGGCAACCGATCCTGTTTGTCTCTCCCCGCCTCCCCCGCCTTCCTCTCTGACAATCAGTGAACGTACCCTCAGGTGCGGGTTAAAAATAGGGAGTCCCTCGTCTTTAACACATTCAGCCTGGAGAGCCCCTTGTTTGGGCCAAGGAAGGGCTGGTGCCCTGCAGGGTTACAGGAGCCCTGAGGTCTGTCCTGGGGCCTCCCTGGCCCTGGGCCCTGCCCTGCAGAGGGCCCTGTTCTGACCCCGCTCAGCCACATGTCCCATCATCGGGGGGAGAATATGCAGAGCTAAGGAGGTACTTCCACACAGAACCCCACCTGCCCGTCCAGAGCAGGCTTGGTGAAGTGTGGGGGACCAGGGCCACCCCCAACCCTGACCAGCAAGGCAAGGCCCCTCAGGGCGGCCCTGAACACTTGGGGACAGAGAGTCACCACACAGGGCGGTCTGGTCTCAGTGTTCCTCTGGAGGTATGCTGACGGAGACCTTTGGCACTGTTCTCGTGTCTGTACGTCAACTTCGTGACGGTCGTCGCGCTGACCATGCACTGACGAGGCTGGCTGGCTGGCACCCATGCCGTGCGGGGCCGTGGGGGGCGTCACGTCCGAGGCCGTAGCTTCCCCTGACATAGGTCAGCCTTAACCTCCACTGAGCCTGCCTGCTGCCCTTTTGCATCTAAGCCAACACAGCTCAGAGACGTCCGAGGGGTGCCCCTCCCAGACCCTCAGGGCCCAGCCTCCACCCGAGCAGGAGGCCCCGGAGCCCCGGGGTGTCTTGTTCCCCAGCACCAGCCCCACGTGCAGCCGTGGGTGAGTGTTAACGGCCCTGCCCCCACCGTGTAAGGGAAGAGGGTGCCTCTCTGTTTACCTTTCATGCACCTGGGAGATTTCTCCCCTCTTTGCTCTCCCTGCCCCCTTCCTCTGCCTCCCACGGGCTCCTGTGGCCCCCTCGCCTCCCGCCCCCAGAGCCTCCCTTGGGGAATGAGCTGCAATTCTCAGAACTGTGCTCTCAACCTGTTGAGATTTCACTTCCCGGCCTGTCCTCACAATTTGGCTCCAGTAAATTCTTACAGGACTTTTCCTCTGTGGACAGAATTTATTCTTACTGACCCCAAATCCCACCATTCTGCCCCCCTCCCCCCCACTGCCTCTGGCGACCTCCAATTTGTGCTCTGATGTTTAGGTCCCACCCAGCAGTGAGGTCTCGCAGGGTTTGTCCCCGTGTGGCTTATTCACCTTCGCACGCGGTGCCCCCAGGTCCATCTGTGTGCTCACGGCTGGCACGATTTCCTTCTTTTTGGGGTGGAGTCGTATTCCACATGTACACATGCAAGTTCCGGATTCCGAGTTTTCTTTATCCGTCATCCGTCAGCCTAAGCGGCTTCCATGTCTGGTGAACAGTGCCGCCGAGGACCTGGGAACGCACGGAGCTTTTCCAGGGAGCGTTTTGTTTTCTTCAAATGAACAGAAGCATCATTGCCAGAGCATGTGGTGGTTCTGTGTTCAATTTTCTGAGAAAATTCAATTAAAATTGAAGGATTTTTTTTCAGTTTTTCATTTATCTTTAAATAAAATATTTTATTAATTTATTTATTCAAGAGTTTTATTTCTTTATTTTTAGAGTTTTTATTATTATTTTAAGGGAAA